CCTGGCATCCCGGCATTACCAAGCGTTCGCGTCGACTTAGCCACATAGCCGACAGTAGTAGTAGTAGTAGGAAAGTAATAAAGGCACAAATTGTAGTGTTTTTATAGTAGTAGTTGTATTCGCAGTGAAAGGATTTGTTATTGTTGTTGTTGTATTTGTTGTTGTTTTAGCAGTAGTAGCAGCAGCAACAAAAGCAGCAGTAGATAAAGCAACAACAACAGCAGTAGTAGTCGTCGTTATAGGTGGTAGTGATAGAAGTAGTATAGTAGTAGTGATAGTAGTAGTGATAGTAGTAGTGATAGTAGTAGTGATAGTAGTAGTAGTAGCAGCTGATGGGAGCCATCCAGTTATGGATTAGACCAGGTCAGGAGACAGTCGAGATAGATATTCAATCAGACTGTTACTGGTATATCGGAATTAAAACTCTGTGCATGCTGCTATAGATGCGGGTGAAGCGCTGATTTGAATGTCGTGAGTGCTGTGATGTTGTTTATTAACTCAAACGTATGGTTATACTAAAATGGAATTAAGATCTTTTATACCAGGCGTACATTACATTACATAAATTAAGTATCCTTTACATTAGGCTACAGAACCAATCCCAGTATTTGTGTGACTATTTTGGTTATGCTAGGCAAATTAAACTACTGGTTTGCTACTACTACTAGTTTGCCATTGCTTTCTGAACGATCGCTCTTGATACCACTGTCAAAACCAACGCAAGACAAATCCACCACAGCTGAGATCGAACCTGGCACCTCGGAATTACGAAGCGGGTTTGCAATGCCTGAGCCACAGAGGCTGACACCAACCATACACATAATACTATAAAAAGAACCTTACAACAAATGACGTTATACAATGCGTTAAAACTAGTCTTGCACTAGAAAATAGAAGTAGGGAGCTGCGTGGTCTCGAGGCATGATGTCTGCCTTTTGAGTGTAAGAGGTTCCAGGTTCAATCCTCGGTAAGGGCAAGGATTTTTTCACGTGGACTTCTAGTAATTCTCCCTGGTCTCTGGGTAGTGAGATGGGACGCCCGTGTGCACTGATGCGCACGTAAAAAATCAATTGGCAGTTGGAAATCGAAAAGAGTAGCCTAACGGCGCTGCCCGGGCCAAATTTGGAGTTAAAAATCTACTCAAAGTATTTCAGGATTTTCGCCTTTGCTACGGAGCCTGTGCACTGTGCTGAGCTTCTTCAGACTCAGACTTGGGTTAGAAGAAGAACGGAGCACTTATAGGTTATTACCCATGTGACATGATGTTGATCAGTTGTTCAAAACCTCAAACCTATAACACACACACAGCATTCACAACGGCCTTGTTCATAAATAATAACTATTCATTGAATTTAGATGAGATGGGAACAGATATAACATAACCAGCTACGTTCCCAAAAGCGGTCTGTCTCCGTCTTTAGCAGTCAGCACTGAATTCAAAATATACTAGTACCAGTTGCAGAAAAGGGGTGAAAGTAAAAGGTAAAGTCGGGAGATGTGAACCGGCGTCACTGCACAAAGTTTTTAACCATAAGGGCTCTGCCACCAGTATTGATAGCTGATAAGAAACTGTCTGCCTGTGTCGCCATCCGCACGTAACTCAGTAGCTACAGCGACGTTCCTTCATTTACCCCAGAGTGTCAACTCTGATACCCATTTCCTAGAGGCTGGGTGAATCCCAGAAACCGCACGGTTTCGAACACCGGCCGTGGGCTACAGTGAGTCGCAGCTGGATTTGACAGCGAGTCTTCTATCGACTGCACTAAGGCGTGTTCCCTGAAAAATTTGGGGAAGGATTAGGGGTGGAGGGGGGGGGGGGGGGGGGTTAGGGGGGGGGGGGGGGGGGGGGGGTGTGGGGGTGGGGGGCGGGGGGGGCGGGGGGGGGGGGGGGGGGGGGGGGGGGGGGGTTAACAAGAAGAAGGCTGTAAGAAGATGGCAAAAGATAGGACTGAAATCGTATGTTGGCTGGGGGCCAATGTCCCATGTAGGTGAAAGGCAACCAGTAGGAGGAGAAATGACATAAAAGATGACAAAATAAGATTTTTTGAAGTGGGATGTGTTGGGCCAAAAGACCGTTATATGGGCAAACATAGAAAAAGAATAGGAAGCAGAAGAAGAAGAAGAAGAAGAAGAAGAAGAAAAAGAAGAAGAAGAAGAAGAAGAAGAAGAAGAAGAAGAAGAAGAAGAAGAAGAAGAAGAAGAAGAAGAAGAAGAAGAAGAAGAAGAAGAAGAAGAAGAAGAAGAAGAAAGAGAAAAAGAAGAAGAAAAAGAATAAAAAGAAAAAGCAGCAGCAGCAGCAGAAGAAGAAGAAGAAGAAGAAGAAGAAGAAGAAGAAGAAGAAGAAGAAGAAGAAGAAGAAGAAGAAGAAGAAAAAAAAAGAAGAAGAAGAAGAAGAAGAAGAAGAAGAAGAAGAAGAAGAAGAAGAAGAAGAAGAAGAAGAAGAAGAAGAAGAAGAAGAAGAAGAAGAAGAAGAAGAAGAAGAAGAAGAAGAAGAAGAAGAAGAAGAAGAAGAAGAAGAAGAAGAAGAAAAAGACAAAGACAAAGACAAAGAAGGAGAAGAAGGAGAAGAGAAGAAAGAAAGAAAGAAAGAAAGAAAGAAGAAAGAAAGAAAGAAAGAAAGAAAGAAAGAAAGAAAGAAAGAAAGAAAGAAAGAAAGACAGACAGACAGACAGACAGACAGACAGACAGACAGACAGACAGACAGACAGACAGACAGACAGACAGACAGACAGACAGACAGACAGACAGACAGACAGACAGACAGACAGACAGACAGACAGACAGACAGACAGACAGACAGACAGACAGACAGACAGACAGACAGACAGACAGACAGACAGACAGAAAGAAAGAAAGAAAGAAAGAAAGAAAGAAAGAAAGAAAGAAAGAAAGAAAGAAAGAAAGAAAGAAAGAAAGAAAGAAAGAAAGAAAGAAAGAAAGAAAGAAAGAAAGAAAGAAAGAAAGAAAGAAAGAAAGAAAGAAAGAAAGAAAGAAAGAAAGAAAGAAAGAAAGAAAGAAAAAAAGAAAGAAAGAAAGAAAGAAAGAAAAAATCTAATATTAATATATTCCCACACTGTCTCCAGTTTGGTCAGCCACTGCGTATATTCAAGAACAGTTTACAAGTCGTCAAAAAAGCCTAGACCAGACGATAAATATGACTTAATGAACAATTAAATGCAGCATAGACGCTTATTGGCATCAACAGGCGTATCTCGTTACACGTTACATCGATGTGTCTCTTCTTTTGCTTAATCCCTTCGCTAGCTGATTATTAATAAACAGTCATATGGCCAATAAATTGCTCTCTAGACCAGAGGTTCTCAAACTGGAAGCCGCGGCACCATGGGCGCCGCGAGTGTATGCCAGAGGTGCTCCGGCAATTGTCAAGAATGTTTTCAAAATCTGCTTGAAATCAGCGAAGACAGCACTTTAAAACAGATATACCACAACATAAGCCAAGAAGAGTTCAGGATGCAGGTGTATTCAGAAAACAATGTTATTGGCTAGGCTGCAGTGAATTTCCAACGTACGTTTACATAAAAAATTAAAATAAAAAAAAACAGATACAAGAGAAACTTCGACTGATTTGAGAGTATAATTAATAAAACTTCCCATATACATAATGGAAATAGTGAAAAAGTCATCCAAACAGTTTCATTCATCGCATTTGAAAACAACTGAACATAACATTTGCAATGTTTCTTCTTCTTTTCATAAGTATTCAAACCGCTTTAAGTGTAAGTGTGTCGTGAAAAATTGTTTGCCCGACAAAGGTTCCGCATGAAAACAAATTTTGAGAAACGCTGGTCTTGACAGATGCATGGGCTGCTGACGACGGGATTCTGTCTTCCCGGATGGTGGGCCGCCGCGATGAAAACATTGCGAAGGCAACTTCGACTACTCTTGCAGACGCTGTTTATATTGACATTACTACCACCCAGGGCCGTCTTAACACGTGGGCACGCTGGGCACCTGCCCAGCGGCCCCGAAAATATAGTGGCCGAATGCTAACCATCTTGATGTCAGTCCCGTGAGAGGTTATCTTAGGGGCCACAGCACACAGGTTTGCTCAGAGGCCTCTGATGCTGTTAAGACCACCATTACGACCATAACTACTACTGCTACTGCTGTTGCAGATAATACAACTACTACTACGATACACTGAGGTCATTATTATTATTATCCGCATCATTTTTGTTGTTTATTATTATTATCCGCATCATTTTTGTTGTATATTATTATGACTCTAGAGTCAAGCGAGAGCTGCATTTCAGAAAATGAAAAATATCTTATGCAATAAATTATACTCTCATTTAATGTCCGAAAGAGAATTCTAAAATGTTACACACAACCTGTTCTGCTGTATGAAAGCGAATCTTGGAATGGCAGTGAACAAATCAGGAAGAATTTAGAAGCAACATAGATGTGGATTCTTAGACGAATGTTACGAATACCTTGGAGGCCCTGAGTAACTAACAACGATTGTTTGACAGAAGCTAATGAAAGTAGATCTCTATATACAACAAATAAAAAAGAGACTAATACTGTTCTTTGGCCACGTAATGAGAACAGACACATTATAAAACATCGTGACAACTGAAAAGATCAGTGGAAAAAGGGGTAGAGGCAGACAAAGAAAAGATGATGCTGGATGGGCTGAAACGATGGCATGGAGGGATATCATCAAGAGAGCTGTTCCAGGCAACCAGGAATCTTGATCTGTGGAGATGCATGAGCGCCTACGCTAGTCGACAGGGCACATGGTGATGAATATCATTACTCTTACTATTGCTGTCATTATTACTGATTATTATTGTTATTATTCTTTTCCTTTTTTGCAGAAACCAATTTCAGCCACACGGGTTTCAGGCATGAGGTAAACAACGGATGAGCATTTTGACTGAAATGTTTGGATTTCTTGTGCACTATGTGCTCGAATATTCAGGTTCATATATCTAGGAGCGCTACAGGATTACGAGTCTAATCCTCAATGCTGGGAAATGTATAGGCGATCATTGGACCCATTGATTCAAGTGACCATGTTCAAAGTGCTAGTGATTGTTCTGTTGGAATTATCGCTGTCGTATTCCACCGGAGCTGCAGCTGAAGAAGCCTATGTTACCATGGCTCGGTGCAGAATTCAGTGCTTGAAGCAGGTGAGTCTTTTATGTGGTATCCGTGTGTGGTCAAGTCTGCTTTTTCTTCTTCTTGTTATTGTTCTTCTTGTTGTCCTTTTTCTTCTCCTTTTTCTGTTTTTTTTTCTTCTTCTTCCTGTTCTTCTTTTTCTTCTTCTTCTTCTTTTTTTCTTCTTTTTCTGTTTCTTCTTCTTTTTCGTCTTCTTCTTCTTCTTCTTCTTCTTCTTCTTCTTCTTCTTCTTCTTCTTCTTCTTCTTCTTCTTCTTCTTCTTCTTCTTCTTCTTCTTCTTCTTCTATTTCTTCTTCTCCTTTTTTCTTCTTCTTCTTCTTCTTATTATTATTATTATTATTATTTACCAAGCCTTAAATTTGTACCAATTCGCCTCCCTCCCTCCATCTGTCTGCCTGTCTCCTCTTCTTCAACCATCCTTTCCGTCTGTCTCATCTTCTTTCTTTCTTTGCAGATCCTAATAACATACAGCAATTGCGACTGATCCGTTTGTGTTGTAGTGTACAGCTAGACTGTGATATCAGTGTTTTTTCGGCCAAACAAATCAAATTCCAGCTACCCATTAATCAGGGTATCTAAAGGCGTGCATATTGTTAAGCAGGGATCTATTTCTGCTGCTTCTTCTTTGGGTTTGGTTTCGTTTGCTCAGATCAGGACCATCATGTGGTTTCCCTGTGAACACGCGCGTGTCAGCAGCAGGTCCTTCATGGTTCGAAGGGGATCTACTCAACAAGGAAAGGGCCTGGAAACTCACACAAGGATGTCGTAAAGTTAATAAAAAAGGATCTTATTGACACTAGCAACGCAACAGCCATATGCAGCTGGAACCAACATCTTTATAGACCAGACGAAAAAATAGTCGCTGATGTAGTTAACAACTGCGTGGTCTCTAGGCATGGTGTCCGCCTCAAGTGCTAGAAGTTCCGGGTTTAATCCCCGGTAAGGGCAGGGATTTTTTACGTGGACTTGGACTTCTAGTCATCACCCCCCCCCCCCCCCCCCCCCCGGTCTCTGGGTAGTGAGATCAAACGCCCGTGTGCATTGCTGCGCACGTAAAAAAAAATCCTTTGGCAGTTGGAAATCGAAAAGAGTAGCCTAACGGCGCTGCCCGGGCACAATTATAGTTTAAAATCTACCCAAAGTATTTCAGGATCCTCGGCGGTGCTACAGAGCCTGTGCCCTGTGCTGTGCTTCTTCAGTCTCAGACTTGAGTTAGAAGAAGAACGGAGCAATTATGGGTTACACCCGTGTGTCATGATGTTGATCCGTTGTTCAAAACCTCAAACCTCAAGTTAACAACGCACCTGTCGTTCTTTACTAAAACGACCTTGTACATTATCGCCATTGCATCCAGTTTCCACCCTAAATGCATCGAAAACTGCGGAGATTTACAATACACAGGATATCTTCTTTTTCTTATACATTCGTGTTTCAAAGAACAGTTGGCCAATCGTTTACAATAAGGATGCGACAGTTACGCCTTTCGACACAAAAACATCCGTTCCAGCAAATCCTTGATTATTCACATTTTACGACATGCTTGTAAATGGGCAATTGGTATATTCTCTCCAACCCCCCCCCCTCCCCCCACCCTTTCCTCCCAGATGGGCTCCAGAAACTAGCATGGAGATCGACACACCAGAAATCAATTGCGATACCCGCCCAGTCTTCTCTAAACTCCCGTTTCTTTGTAAATACCAAAATGGTCGTCGAATTTTCAACCAAAGAGGCTTGATTCTAACAAGCAGTAGGCCCACTTCTCCTGCAGACGTGAACTTGGCCGGTGGTTTCGTTAAAACCTTCCGCTCGACCCTTTCAATTGCCTTCGGAAAAAAAGCCCAGCTGATAATCTGAACCTCAGCCGATAAAGATAAGGTAGAAGACACACTGTGGGTATTATAAAGACTTTAAAATCGTCTTTTTGTTAATTCTGTTGGCAAATATGCGATTCGTTTTTGCGCGCGTGCAGACCAGCGCGTTCCTACAGCGCCTCGAGAGTATGGGAAACAAGCGCGTCCTATTCCTAAATTACGAACCGTATTGCGAGGGTTATCAGCTTCCCCTTCCAGAGTGACATTAGATATGGGCACATTTGTAAATAGAGAGGTTGGTTTTGCCCATACATTCATAGGTATCTTTCAAACTGTCTTTCGTGATCTTCTAACAAGGATGCCTTTCTCGTGTATAAGTTACATGTTTAATGTTTTGCCTTTCATGGATCTTTTCTGCCACTTTTCGCTAATCTCTGCATTGCTACATATTGTAACTCTATGTTTATAAGGCATCATACATATATACTTACTACATGGGTAGATAGTTAACACTTTCAGCACAGTTGGTAGACGCGTGTCTGTCGGCCCGAATGTCTTAGGTTCGCATCTATGTCGCCATGGATTTCTTTATTCCGCCTAGGTTTCCATCCAGATTTACCAGGCCTTAAATTAGTACTAGTTTCCGTCCCTCCATCCATCTATTCATCCATCCACCCATCCATCTATTCATTCATCCATCCATCCCTACATCCATCCATCCATCTATCCATTATACAGACTCATTCTCTCTGTTTACTTCCCCCCACCCCCCCCCCCACCCCCCGCCAACCCGAGTTGTTTTATCGCGTCTTTTTTCTTAAGTTTACAGTTTAAGTCAGCATAAATCAGGCTCTCCTTGTGAATTCTGTCTTATATACTATTTAAATCAGCAAACGGTTACGAGAAACATAGCACTTATTAATGCACACACTGATTATGTCATGTTCTGTTCAAAAGTGTTCTGCGTCATTTGTACAACCATATTGCGTCACGGACTGTTTATTGCGTAAGAAATTGTGCTCGGTTCCACATAATTTGTTATTTTAAACTCTTCAAGGATACAGCATCCTCCGTATTTGTGGAGTGATTTTTTCTGCTATGTGTGTATGTGTGTGTGTGCGCGCGCGAGTGCGCGCGTGTGCGTGTGTGTGTTTCTGCACACCTAAAGTTTTTTTCACGGAATATATTTGATTGATAACTACAATATTTCCAGGTTATTTAATTTAAAAGGAAAGATGAAACAGTGTATGCGTACAATCACAGCTGGACACTGACCCATATATATATATATATATATATATATATATATATATATATATATATATATATATAGACACACAAACAAGCTAGGACAGTAGTTTACAGTCTGCTGCCTAGGCATGCAAACATGCATCTCAAGCCAAAGCAACTTGCCGTCAGCAATTAACACACACAAGTCTATAATGCAACACAAATTAACTGGGATACTTTCCCGCAGCCTGTTATCACATTTCCCACTTCAATGTTTGACCACAATTCTACACATATTACTCGTACAATGGGCCCCAGCGCTTGGGGGCTTAGGTACCATACTATTAGCTCACCCCAGCAGAACTTTTGCTATAACTTTTTTTTTAATAAGGAGACTACCGCCACTCACCCGCCCTTTTCTTTTATTATCTACCCATGTTTACAAGTTCAGTTTTCTTCTTCTTTCTTCTTCTCGTTCACCGGCTGTAAACTCCGGCGTAAAGCTCTGGTTGTTCGTCCACTTCTGGACTGCAGTCCTGTTCCAGAACCTGAGTGCTGCCTGTGCATCCGTTTGACACATCTGTATTCAGACTGTTAGTTCCTTGCCTCTCAGGCAGATGCACTCTGACTTCAAAGGAAGCTCCCAATTAGTCGACTCTTACGACAGGCTTTTTGGGTAGGCAGTGGGTCTATTCTTGTTTTTTGCATAGTAGGGCCCCAGAACCCACACGGGGGGTTCAGTTTTTAACAAGGGGAGCCGATGTGGTGTAGCCGTTAGACTCTCGCCTGCAGATCCGAACACAACCTTAAATGGGTATCTGGTAAAGCCCTGTGAAATAAAGGCGGTCAGTGTGATGTTGACCACAGCATCCCCGAGTGTCGATTATTTACAGGTCTAGCCCTATATACCCAATGCGTATGAAGGCGTGGAAAAAAGTTCGTTACTTTTATATAAAGCGTATTTGTGAAATATATTATTAACTTGTTTTAGCCATTCAGAACATTTTTGCTGTTATTATTATTAGGCATTTAAAGAAGGTTTGATCGTTGATGTCTCCCCCCACGAAAATTTGTTAGGGCGTTTAGCCCCAGCCCCATTTCCCTTTTTTGTTTTTGTTTTTTACCACTAAATCTCTCCCAGTGTTATCTTCGTGTCGGCGCCAATAGTGTGTACTCCATCTTTCAGTCGTGAGTTCGCTAGCTGAATAAATTGTGGCTTGGTGTTTTCATTAACAGCAAAGGGGCTAGCCAACCCTCGGGTTAAATATATGTAGATACCGCGTGGGTTCTCAGCCTTCAGCCAGCCTGAATGGGCATTATGTGCTAGATAATGAGGCTCTGTGTGTGTACTGATTCGTTGAACTGTCGACAGACATGGCAACAAGAAGCCTGGCGAGAGACCAGCCCTAAAGACTAGATTTAAAGTTTGTAAACTGTTGAAGACAAGCCAGGGTTAAATTATCACTCGTGTGAGATGAAGTTTTTTTTTTTTAACAGGGTGATTAAAGCTAGGAGGATCGGCATCGTTGCACATGCTGTTATCAAGTCTTGCTATGTCTCTAAACCAGGGTTGGAGAACTCTTTTTCCCCCATGCCAAGAGCCGTTTCGATAGACATTGCAACTTTAGGATCTACGAGTCTACCTGAATAAGAGTTTCTCAGGATAAGAGGCCAAGATCGACATGTGTGCCCAACCAGAGCATTTTTTTTAGCTGTTGTGGTTTTTATAGACAAATTTTACGTTCAGTAGTTTGTCACTGCTTACTGTGCGGTCTGCTCTCGGTACCACGGTCGAAACCAATGTACAGTGACAGGGGAATTACTGTATGCTCCTGGCGATTTCCACAAAGCCGTGTTATCTGAGTGGCCACCAAGTGTATCGGCAGGCCTGAGGTCTTGTACCGGAACTTTATTCGTCCATCACACGTGATCGTGACCAGTCCTTTCACCCGCTAGTGGTAAAGTGGGGT